ACTATAATTTCATTTATTTGGCTCTTGTCTGGAACCTTGTCAACATGAAAGGCACCCGACTTCTCTGGCTTTAGAACAGCAATGGATTGTCAGGGAGCTCAGTTTGTGGACAAAATGCCTTTCATTATAGAGTCCAACTTGGGACTCCGTAGAGTGGTCCCAGGAGTGACGAGGTTGCTTCTGTGGGTCCCTCAATGGTTTTTTATCACTCAGGGTTGGGACTGTGCATTTGTGGGTCTGTCTCAGTCCTGCCTGGAACTCCGCAAGGGCAAGGGCTGTGGGCTTGTTTATCTTACACATCGTGGGCCTCAATATATGGATGAATAGATGCGTAATTACATGCAGGAATGGTTATAGCCTTGAAGAAGGAACTCCATTGAGGCAAGGGCAAGAGGGGCTGTGTGTGTGTGAGACACTCCCCTGCCAGTGGCTGCTCTTGTTCAACACTAAGCACCCACTCTTGCTGGCCCCGCCTCTGCAGAATTGCTCTTTGTGGGCTCTGCAAAGGGCCTCTGTTAGGCTCCTCGCCAGCCTGCCAAGGAGCTGCATGGAGCACTCCAGGCTGGCTGCATGGCACCAGCGATGCAGGGCTGAGACTAGTATTGCCACCATTCCAGGGCTGGATGGTCTGAAAGAATGAGCTCCACCTCAGAAATGAAAACCCACGCCAAAGACGTTTTCTGCACGAGCCCGCACACTTTGTCCAGTGCACCTACTGCCCTGGGCATGCCAGTCTGAATCGCCAGATCAGCAAGCAAAGGCCGTGTTTGGCGGGGGAGGTGACACAGCCTCTGGAGACAAACTGACCTAGGTTTTGTACCAGTTTTGATGGCCCTGGCTCCTGAGCCCCGCCCGGGCTCTGCATCCAGAAAATGTGGCGAATGATCCTTCCTCAAAGGTCTGCGGCAGAGGGGACACAGAACACAAGGTTCTGTGGTTTCCAAGAGAAGAGGGTACACTCCTGAGGCTACAGGTGTGGTTCAGGTGACACACGGATGAATACCTCAAGTTTTAATTGTATGTGCCTGAAAGGGGGTGTGGGGTGAATAGAAGCAGTCCATCATGCCTGTGACCTTACTAATGTTCCCCCCGTAAGTTGGTATGGCTATCGGGTCCGAGTCTGGTTACAGAAAATAAACGATCAAGTAAAACACAGCCCCACTTGTAGGGGGCGGTGGCCAGCAGTTTGGAATTGGTCCTCTCAAGATTCTTCTCTGGGGAGCTAGAGAGGTGGAAAACGCATGTCTGCCAGTAGTAGGCGCTCTAGAAATGCTCTCTGCTACAGCCAGCGGCCAAGGGAACCAGGCTGGAGGACAACCTGCCACGGGGCACAGCCTAAGGAGTTAAAAGCAAGGGGTCTGCGGTTTCTCTGCCCATCCCCCTGCAGCTAATCTGTCACCCAATGAAGAAGCGGCCAGCACAAGCGAGCGCACTGGCAGTTCACGTCCAGCAAACTGATTAAGAATGTTCAACCAACAGCAGACTGTAGACCTCTCCAGCGAAAATAAATAGAGTGTAGACTGTATGCAAATGCGTTTGTCACTTTGACAGCACGTCTCAATTAAGGCATCTCGCGGCTGTGGGGAGGCTCTGTGGCTGCAGCTGGAAGGTAGAGACCGCTGCATGGCTGATACTGGGGCTTGACCTTAATCCGCATGCATGCATTAAAAAAAAATCCTGCCTTCCTGTACACTTGCATAATGCTGGCAGCCACGTGAGGTAGGTGACAAACGGGAAAAAAGCCACTTTCATCCTCTCCACTTTACAGACCTGTGAAGGCACAGACAGCTCTTATTTCAACAGAGTTTGGGTGCCTTTTTTAATTGTTTATCCCCCCTGTGTGCATGCACAAACACACACCCACACACTTGAGTGAGGGGACACACGGACACACACACACACACACACACACACACACACACACACACACTCTTATTCTGCATTGAGCTAAGAATGCACTAAAGCATCTTCACTTCTTGCTGGAGTGGAAAGAAGGTCTTTCTCCATTTCAAATGGGGCCTCCTGTGTGTGTGTGTGTTTCGAAAATGGAATGTTTAACACCATGAAATCCCTCTTCCCCGCCCCTTCTTTCTCTGTAATGGGCTCCCAACTACAGCGGCGGGGGTGGGGGGTGGGGGGTGGTGTGGTGTGTGTGTGTCTTTTCATGGGAAGGTTAGTGTGTTGGGGAATGAGGACAAAAGAAAGCAAGAAGCTAGCTCTGGAATGCCATGCTGGCGACAACCGAGGGGGTTGGGGGCAGGCTTTCAGCAAACAGCCATTTCCCCAGCAGGGCCTGTGCGCGCGTGGAGAAGGCAGCTCTTTGGGGGTGAAAACACCAATGCTATTTGGAGATCACCATTAACCAAATGAGCACTGCCTCCTGGGTGGGACTTTCTTCCGCATTACGTCTGTTTTATAGCATCCCTTTTAAGTGCACAATTGGAAAGGGAGGGTGGGGGGTGAACCACCCCAAGTTGAAGATGCATGTACATCTTCTCTGGAAATATTGATTAGAGAGGACGGATTCCTATGTTCCAATGAACTTTCCCCTTCCACTAGTAACCCATGGCTACCATTTCATCAGTTTCTTTCATTTCCAAATAGCTCAATAGGCACTTGATAAATGCCTGTTTGAAATGAGCATTTTTTTTCATGGTGGCTTCTAGGTCTTTCATGTGGTGAAATAGCAATCAAGTGATAAAAGTGCTAACGGCTATTTGAATCATGTTTCATCTAACACATGGCTAAAGGTTCAGGTGACTTAAAAGATAAAGACCCTTGTACAGTCCAGATACAGCCATATGCAATGAACAAAGCCATTTCTCATAAACCCCCAAAGCTATGGCTTTTGCTAATCAAGTACCAATTCCAGAGAAGCCGAGGAGGGTACTCGATCTCCTTTTCAGCCCCAAATATAATATAACCACTGATGGGAAATGGAAATAAAGATCAGTTTCTCTACTGAGTATATTGTTTTACTTAAAAGAAATAAGAAATCAAACAAATAGACAATGTTCCAAATGCTTGGGTCAACAAACATACTTGGTTAAAAAAATCAAATCTCCAGAATCAGACTGCGGGTATTTACTCTGAGAAGCATGACTCCTAGTATTGATTTTCAGGACGTACATTAATAAAGAACTCCTAATTGATTTTTTTTTTAAGATTTCTCTTGTTGCCTTTTATTTGAAGGTGCAAAGAAGGGCCTGGGATGGTAAAGTGTTCTAATGAGACGCTTAGCTAACAGAGGCCCCTTACATGGAGTGCCCTGGAGTGGGGGAGACAGCAGCTGCATTGAATGACTTCGGTCAACAGCTGAGCTAGCATCTGATTAGAGCCAGGCTGTCTCCCTGAGAATTTTGAACACACACCTTCAAAATGGTTTTGCACCAAATCCACATTGGGAAGAGGTAAAGGGTCCCAGGGAGTTGTTTCACCATGAGACAGCGGAAAGAACTGTCTGTGGCATGTGCTGCTTCTGCCAACCAGTGGCCTGGGCAAAGGGCCAGGGTACCTACCTGTCCAAAATGGACGGTGATAGGCCTCCGGTCTTCTCGGAGCTTGGGGTCCTTGGCCTCCGCCAGTGGGGACAGTGCTGTCTTTGGTAACTGCTCTTCTGTGGTGGGGGCACAGCCGTTCTCGGTGATGTCCTGAGGGGAGGAGGAGGGTCCGGGTTGAGCACAGGTACTCCCCAGACCCCAGAACCCTGGAGCTCAGTCAACACTCAGCGTCAACCCTTCTAATCGAAGGGGCAGAACAGGAAGGCTTACTTGGCCCTTTGACTTTTAAGGTCCAGAGAAGTCCTCGTGCATGAAATTATTCAAATTACACACATTAAATTACAAGACAACAGAACGATAATTCATGATAGTGGGGGGGGGGTAATGATCTTTCATCTTACTATCTTACAAACTGCTATTTTCAGTTTTATATATTCACTTTGGCTCACACACAGACATTTAAAAATTACTTGTAATCACAGCTCATGTATAATTTCATATGCTGCTTTATAAACATCTCCATGCTCCAAAGTCATTATGATGGTAATTTTAATGGATGCATAATATTTCCTTGAGTGGATATACCATAATTTAATACACCATTCCACTACTATTGGACATTTAGGTGGCTTCTAATTTATTTACATTATAAACACCAGAGTCATAAATATTGCAGCTTTTCTTTCTTTCCTTTTATGGAAATCCCTAGGAATAAAATTATTACTAGGTCAAGAGAGAGAAGCCTCTCTAAGGTTTCTAATGCATCCTACACTGAAGGGCTTCCAATTTACACCAACCACCAGCGATGGATGTATTCTCAGTTTCATGGAACTCCTGTTAGTCTTATCGTTTTAAAAATGTATTGCTAATTTAATAGGTGAAAAATTAGACCTCATTGTGGCTTTGATTTGCATTACTTGGAGTATTTGTGAGTGTGGACATTTTTCTCTTTGCTTACCGATGAAGCTACTGTTGTGAAAACAGCCTCTGCACGCCCTGCCTTTCCTATCCCGGCCTGTCCCCTCACGGCTCCCTGGCAAAGGCTGAGTCAGGACTTCAGGATTTTCTAATAATTTTTATTAGACAACCAAACCGAAATCTTTAAATCTAGAAATCCAGTTGATTTGTTCTTCCGAAGGATAGAGTAAAATTTTAAGGAAAAGGAGCCACAATATGCAAACCAGCGAAGGCTCCTTGGCTCACACTGGCACCTGGCTGCCCACACGGGCTACATGGAATGCGGACGGTGCCTGCATGTGCAATAATGGCCACATGCCTTATTAAAGTCTTGATTAAAGTTGCTTAAATCCTCATTGGAACAAGGTGGAGAAAACACACGCGAGTAAATAACATTTAGATAATCATTTTCCCACGAGTAAAAATAACTCATACCCAGAATTAAATAATACATACAAGTTACAACTCCTTTCATTGTAGAAACACATGTAGATTTGGGTCATGAGAACGTATACCCTTTGAGTACGTGCTAAGTTCTGTATATGAAAGACTTTTACAACTTTGGGCTCTCAACTTTGTGGCTGAAAAATGGCCAGGCATGGATGAACGTGGTCCCTTATGGAGCAGCAATGTATTAAGGAAGAAACATACTTAACATCCCTGAGCCTCAGTTTCCTAATCTGTAGAGATAACACAGCTATGAACACCAAAGGAGAGAATGTTTAGAAATTATTAAACCCAAACCCATTGAGTTGATTCTGACTCCTAGTAGCCCTATAGGGTTCCCCAGTCTTGTCAATCATTAATGGAGTAGAGAGCTTAATTTTCTCTGCTTCAGGGGGCGGGGGAGGGCAGGGGGGACTGGTGGGTCTGACTGCCAGCCTTATGGTTAGCAGTCCAACTCCTTTCCCACAGGACCGCTCCATAAACTATAGGAATTTTAGTGACAGAACACATTCACCCTCACCACCCCAGCAGTCTTACTTCCTGGCCTCTTTTCTTAAAGAATCACGGCTACCTGCACAGAGGTCAATCCTAGGAAATCTTTGTTGCCCTTAGATGACATTGAGTTGGTTCCAGCTCAGGTGACCCATGTATAGTAGCATGCAACACTGTCTAATCTGAAGCCATTGTCATTACCATTGCTATATTTGAGACCTTTACTCAGTCACCACGTCAGTTAGTCTCATTGCGTGCCTTCCTCTTTTTTCTTGACCCTCTCTTCCTTACTAAGCACGACACCCTTCTCTAGGCACTGGTCCCTCAAGATAACATGTCCAAAGTACATGGGATAAAGTCTCCCTATCCTACCTTCTAAGGAGCATTCTGTTTGTACTTCTTCTACGACAGATTTGTTTGTTCTTCTGACAGTATATTTAATATTCTCACCAACATTATAACTCAAAGGACTCAATTATCCTTTGATTTTTCTTATTCATTTTTCAGGTTTCACGTGCACATGAGGCAACTGAAAATACCTGGCAAGGTACACCAGAGTGACATCTTTGCTGTTAACACTTTAAAGATTTTTTTTAGCAGCAGATTTGCCCAAAGCAATAGATTGCTTGATTTCTTGACCTCTGCTTCCATGGGCATTGATTGGGGAGTCAGGTAAAATGAAACCTTTGACAACTTCAATATTCTCTGTTTATCATGACGTTGTTGCTTAGAGACCCAATCATGAGAAGTTTGATGACGTTATAATCGTACTGAAGGGTGTAGTATCTGATCGTCATCAGTGAACGCTTCCAGTCATCTTAGTGTTCAGTAGGTCAGTCTGCAGCATCTCTGTCTTGCAGATTGGTAATTAGTCTTCCTCCCTTCTGGTGCTGTGTCCTCTTTCCTAGAGTCTACCTTCTCAGATGATCCACTCAGCATACAGACTGAAGAAGGTGAAGGATACATCCCTGACGCACACACTCCTCTTGATTTTAAGCCACGAAAGTATTCCATTGTTCTGTTTGGAGAACTTCTTTGTCCATGTGCAGGTTCCACACAAAAATAATGAAATGTTCTGGAACTCCCATTCTTTGCAAAGTTACCCATAACTAGTTATAATTCAGTCAAGAACATTTGCATAGTCAATAAGACACAGGGGAACATCCGTCTGGTGTTTGTTGATTTCAGCTAAGAGTCATCTGACAGCAGCAATGATATCCCTTGTTCCCTGTCCTCTTTTGATTTTTGGCATTTCCCCGCAAGTGTTTTGAGTGATTGTAGGCTATATTCTAGGTGTGTGATATTAATGTTATTGTTTGGCAAGTGCTGCATTCTGTTGGACCATCTTTCAATGGAATGGGCACAAGTGTAGATGGATCTTTTCCAATAATTGGCCAGGTCTTTCAAATTTTGAGTAAGTGCTTCCAGTGCCACACCAGTTTGCTGGAACATTTCTTTCTTTTTTCCTTTTAAAAATCATTTTATTGGGGGCTTGTACAACTCTTATCATAATCTATCCATACATGCTGGAACAGTTCAATTGGTATTTTGTTACTTGCTGGAGGCAGGTTTTTGCCAATGCCTTTTGTGCAGTTTATACTCCTTCCTTCAGTCCTATTTGTTCTTGGTCATGGAAATGGTTGAATGGCGACCAAATCATGTTGATGCCATGAATCTGTATTGCTTCCGCCTTCTCTTGATACTCATGGTCATTCAATATTTTGCCCATAGAACCCTTCAGTATAGCAACTTGAGGCTTGGCCTTTTCTTCATTTTTTTCTAGTTTGAGAAATGCCAACCAAGGATATTCTTCCCTTTTGGCTTTCTAACACCAGGCCTTTGCACATTTCATTGAAATATTTTGTCTTCTAGAGCCACCCTTTGAAACCTATTCAGCTCTTTTATTATTTCTTACATTTGTTTCAGCTACTCTAGGCTCAAGAGCAAGTTTCTGAACCTCTTCTGACATCCATTTGATCTCTTTCCTGTTTTTCAATGACTTTTTGCTTTCTTCATGTATGATGGCCTTGGTGCCATCCCACACTCCTCTGGTCGCCGGTCGTCAGTGTTTTTATTGCATGGTGTCTAAATTCAGGGAGGAGAGACTCAAGATGGTACTGTGGATCTCGTGGATATTCTTCTCCTCAGCCTCATTTGAACTTACACATGAGCAACTGATGGTCTGGTCTGCAGTTGGCCACTGGCTTTGTTCTGACTGATGACACCGAGTATCTCCATCAACTCTTCCCATATATATAGCTAATTCCTATGTATTCTACCCGGTGAGGTTCACATGTACAGTTCCCACTTGTATCGTTAGGGGTGCAGGAGGTATTTCCAACAGATAGGCTGTTGGACTTGCAAAATCCTATCATGACATCTCAGTCCATATTTTCTAATTATGGATACTTTTTTGTTTTCAACTTCTGTATTCTAATTACTAGTATTTATCAAAGGAAATGGAATCCTTGAATATTTATATCTCATGTACTCAGGACATGTTCCAAATACCTAGAAAAGGACACTCATGCCTGTAAATTGGGAGGGCATCACAAAGGAGAAAAACCTTCGGTGAGATGGAATGACACAGTGGCTGTAGCAACTGGCTCCAACTTAACATTGTGAGGACGGTACAGGATCAGGCAGTGTTTCATTCTGTTGTGCACAGGGTCACTATGGGTCGGAACCAACTCAACAGCACCTACCAAGTGGCATTAATGAACCCAAATGGAGTGCTCTTGGCATTTCAAATTAGACAATCAAATGGTCTATTATGCTGGAATGACAAATGAAAGAGGAATGATGTCACACTGTCAAAAAGATCTATCCCACAGTACAACACTGCTACTGACAGGATAACAGCCATATGCCTACAAGGAAGACTGGTTAACCTGACTACTACCCAAATTTACAAACTAACCACTCATCCCAAAGATGAAATAATGCAGGACTTTTACCAATCATGTTTACAGGAGCCTCTGTGATAGTTTGATAAACAACATGGGGAGATGGTGAACTCTTGGTTTTTCAGAGAGAACTTGGAACAGGTGGCCAACTACAGCTTGGCTTAGAGCCGAGGCTAGTCTCAATGAGGCTGCGGAGCAGTGACGAGAAAGGCTGCCTATCAGGATGGCTCTTTGGCAAAGGGGCTGCCTTAATGTGCTCAGGACAAACGGGACAAAGAGGAGAAGGGGCTCCTTCTGTACTAGATATCAAAGGATAAGGGGCTTTTGGGATCCTGGTAAGGCAATGGA